TATTAAGTGAAATGCCCTGACATGACTTATGCTGTGAATTAGTGCTACATTAGTTGAATCGAATTTAATTCAGTTCTCTTCGGCTCATAACAGAGCATTGTTTTCACTGACTTTGCTGCTGGCTTTGTCGTAATACTTTGTTAAATGGAACAAAGCAACGACATTGTGTATGGAACTCCTATTAGGATAGAGTTTGTGCTGATATATGTGACTGTAAAGTATAAAGCTTTATTGTTAGATGGTAATTATGTGACAGTACATCTGAGGAAATACTGTGGAGTAGCATGGAAGTAAGGGAACAAGTTACTTCCTACAATGGGATGGCAAGTAAAGTAATGCGTTACTTTATATTGAAAACTACAACAAGTAATGTGTAATGCATATTTTACGGACAATTTAGAATCACCAATTAATTAACCTCAACATGTTTTTGGACTGTGTGGGAGGAAGCTGGAGAACCCGGAGAGAACCACGCTGCACGGGGAGAACATGCAAACTCCACACAGAAAGATCCCGGCTGTCCTCATTGGGATGCAAACTCGCAACCTTCTTGCTGTGAGGCAACGATGCTAACCACTGAGCAGCCTTGCAGCCCAGCAAAGTACATTCATTTCATAAATATACTACATTGTATGGCACGTTCTCTGTATAACAAGACTTTTTCACAATAGAAAAAGCACAGGTGTGAATAAAGGGAATTATGCTGAATTCAATTGAACTGACTGAGTTTTCATAGTCTTGGTTTTGTACACTATGTTTGCTGATGATACAAATAATAATCCTTTTCTGTTGCTTTAATACCCCTATTTATCTTAGTGGTATTGGGACCACATTTGGTCAAAGCATGACCAGCATGGTTCTGTGGGGGCTGCAAGGTGGCTCAGTGGTTAGCACCGTTGCCTCGCAGCAAGAAGGTTGCCTGTTCACGTCCCGGTGAGGATATTAGGATCTTTCTGCGTGGAGTCTGTATGTTCTCCCCGTGCAGCGTGGGTTCTCTCCGGGTTCTCCGGCTTCCACAGTCCAAAAACATGTTGAGGTTAATTGGTGATTCTAAATTGTTTGTAGGTGTGAATNCATCTGTTTTGGCTAAACTCTTTCAGTTACAGATAATAATGACTGATACTGAGCAGATGTCCTCGCGGTCACATCATCTGAAAGGTTTTTTTTTTCCCACTGTTCATCGCAGGCCGGTTGACGGTTATCTGAGGAATACAGCAGGAAAGGAAAACGCTGAGAACAACCCAGCGGACGAACCTGAAGTCAAAGGAATGATGACCTTAAACTTTGCGCTGGCAAAGTCTATGTTTGGCAACTCTGCAGTGGACGGTGCAGTTTCACTTGAAACGTAATCCAAGAGACGAGCTCCTCCACCGTCTTTAAAAAGACCGTTTTAGCAAAATGAATGCTCTGCTTCGTTATCTGTGACAGCAAATATTTCTGCCAGAAGTGATCACAATTAAACTCAGTGGCTCCAAATGCTGGCCAAGTCCTGGAAAATGGAGCAGTGGTTATTTATTTACTTCCACCGGTGTAGGGCCTGTCGCAGCTTAACCTCGGGTATCACGTATTACAAAACACGCACACACAGATCCTAGAGATAGGTCCTTGAGCTCTGACTCAACCTGAAATAAAATCAATACTTACAAAAGAAAAAGTGTTACTGAAACATTTCTGTTGGCATTTCACACCAGGGGCATATTTATTTATCTAACACGAGGAAGTTTCAATTCACACAGGGCTCAAGCAGAACCCTTTTTTCTGTCTGCCACGTCATATTAACACAAATTGAATTTTTAGACGTCCATTTTTAGATTTAAACTGTTCATGACATCATCAAAACCCCTGATGATCCTTTATGCACGGTTTCCTCAGCCTGTTAACTTCACTAAATCTCATTTATCTACCAGATGGCGCAGTTTATTTGATTTTCCTCCCAGATTATAATCACTGCACATGACCAAAGAGCTCGTTTATTGTCAAGTAATGTAGATTTAACATCCATTCTTGCCATCAACAGATCTTAAGGACACAAAACTGAGTGTTTTGTTTGATTTTTGTCCTTTGGATGCAAATTGGATTGACAATAAGATTGATCTTCCTGAAGGGCCAGCTATTGCTCAGAAAATATACAATAACATGAGGATAAACACAGAACAGCAACAAGACATAAGTAAAATGAGTGAGACTATAATAAAAGTACAAAGCAAGACTAACAATGATGCTAAAGTATCAAAGCAATATTGCACACTATGATGACATATTGCAGGACAAGCTGAAATATTGCACATGATACTGAATCTGATCTAGA